AAAGTGCAACATAAAAGTGCAATATAAAGTCCGAGCAAAATGCAACATAAAACAGCTAATCAAACAAAAAAAACTGGGGTTACCTAAAATAAGCGAAAAGACGCTGAACCAAAATTTATTAAGAGCAATAGACAAGCTTTTTATAACAGTTTTGATGTGCTAAACGAGAACTAGAACATTGTTTTAAACAAACAAGTGCCACGCAATGAGCTCATTGAGCGCAATGAGCGATCAAAAGAACGAGCTTAGGAGTTCAGTGATCCCAAGAAATGGCTTCTACTCTTACTTTTCAACCCGCGAGTCCGAATCGGAAAAACACCGATTAAGAGCAACCCGGCTCTACTGATCGCTGAAACCCAAAGGGCACGGTCTTGCTCACCCGCTCTGCTCACTCCGACTCCCGTATCATGGAGTTCGCAGTGTACAACCCCCCCTCCAATATCGGAAACAAATTTCGCACCAACAAGAAGCAGTGCTACAATTTCTGCAACCCCACCACGAAGTCAAACTACATCGAGTACAAAAAAAACATCTTCGGAAAGTGCCAAAGCGGCCCCGGCTACACAGACTGGAATGGTTCGCTATATTCAAATAAAGCGCAAGCTTAGCCCGTAGAGTAATCCGGCAGGCAATAAAACAAAAATTAAACGCGTCCTGAAGATCGACGAAGAACCAGGCAGACCCACTAGAAGCAGACTTGCCCTACTGGCGGAGGTTGAGGAAAACCAACCAGCCCAAGTCACCGCAAAAAAACCCAAGCCCCCTCCAAGCTATATCAGGGAGAAAAGCTCGAGTTCCCTGGTCAACCGAATTGCGGCGTCGATCGGAAACGGTGACAATTTTCATGTTGTCCCGCTTATCAAAGGGAACATCCATGAAAAAAAGGTGCAAACCAAGACTGAAGAGCACTTCCGTCTTGAGCAATCATGTCCAAATATCTAGACCATGCTCACCGATGTTACAGTCGCGGAAAAAAAACCGTCCTTAAAGAAAAGGGCTTCGCAGCTAAGAATGTTGAATGTTTATATACATTCTAAATAAAGATAAAAAGGCACAACCCCTCTTCAAGCTCAATGCACTATAAACAAGGAAGACGTCTTCTTCTCCAAAGCTGGGGGATCCGCATTCGGTCTTCCCAACACCACCAATTCCCTCTCCTATGCCGATACCAAATTCAGCCTAATTCACAAAGCGCTCAGCAGGCCCCAGAACAGCCACAGAGCAAAATGAAAAGTTCGCAGTGTACAGCCCCCTCTCCAATATTGGAAACAAATTCCGCACCAACAAGAAGCAGTGCTACAATTTCTGCAATCCCACCGCGAAGTCAACGACTACATCGAGTACAAAAACAACAACTTCGGAAGGTGCCAAAGCGGCCCCGGCTACACAGACTGAAATGGTTCGCTATATTCAAATGAAGCGCAAGCTTATCGCGTAGTGTAATCCGGTAGGTAATAAAACAAAAGTTTACCGCGTCCTGAAGATCGACGAAGAACCAGGCAGATCCACTAGTAACGGACTTGCCCTACTGGCGGAGGTTGAGGAAAACCAACCAGCCCAAGTCACCGCAAGAAAACCCAAGCCCCCTCCAATCTATATCAGGGAGAAAAGCTCGAGTGCCCTGGTCAACTCAATTGCGGCGTTGATCGGAAACGGTGACAACTTTTATGTTGTTCCGCTTATGAAATGGAACATCCATGAAACAAAGGTGCAAACCAAGACTGAAGAGCATTTCCGAATCGTGGGCAAATATCTGGACACTGAACAGAAAAACTATTACACGTACCAGCTGAAAAGCAGTACAGGGCCTACAAGTGGTAGTAAAGGGAATAGAAACAGATGTTACAGATGAAAAGGGCTTCGCCGCCAAGAATGTTATTAACATTCAAAATAAAGATAAAAAGCCACAACCCCTCTTCATGGTCGATCTCGAGCCAGAAAACAGGTCGCTGAAGAAGAACGAAGTCCACCTAATCCACAACCTGCAATATCTTTTGCATCGGAAAATCACTGTTGAAGAGCCACATAAACGCAACGGTCCAGTGCAATGCACTAATTGTCAAGAGTATATACACACAAGTTCTTACCGCACACTTCGGGCTATCTGTGTAGTCTGCGGGGATGCCCAAAACTCCGCTTACTGCACTACAAACACAGTACAGTACCGTGAAGAAATGTGGAAACTGCGGAGGCAACCATACGGCAAACTATAGAGGATGTATGGTGTATAAGGAGTTAAAGAGTCGCATGCGTCAAGCGACCGCAACGCGCAATTAAAATCCATAGAATGCGTAAATTGCGTCAAAAACGCCAACGTCTTCTTCGCCAAAGCTGCGAGATCCTCATTCGGTCCACTAAACACCACCAACGGCTTCTCCTATGCCGAGGCTCTACGATCTGGAAGGGAAATTTCAATTCAGCCTAACTCTCAAAGCACTCAACAGGTCCTAGAACAGCCACACAGGAAAACGGAAACTGTGATGCTTACCCTCCAACAAAGTATGAGCTTATGTAATTCATGAAAACGACCATCCAAACACTGGTTCAAAACCAGAACATGGTGATACAGCTGCTCGTATCACAACAGTCTAAATAATGGAGGCTCTACGAGTTTCTATGTGGAACGCCAATGGTGTCTCACGGTTTAAACTAATATTGTCACAATTCTTGACCGAAAACCATATTGACGTTATGCTACTGGTGGAAACGCATCTTACAAGCAAATACAACTTTCAAATAAAAGGCTACAGAATCTACCGCATAGATCATCCAGATGGGAAAGCCCACGGCGTAACTGGAGTTCTAATCAGAGAACGCATTAAACACCATTTTCACAAAAGCTTTTAAACAATCTTGTTGCAGGCCACATCGATAAAAAGTCAGTCAAGCAACGGAATCCTTTTAATCGCTGCCGTTTATTGCCTTTATGGACTTCTACAATTCACTTGGGGATCGATTTATAGCCGCAGGAGACTACAACTTCAAACATACGCCACTGGAGAACACGTCTAGTGACTCCCAAAGGAAGATAATTGTACAATGCAATCATAAATGTAAAAAATAAAGTAGCCTATGTCCCACATACTGGCCAACCGACTCACGGATGCTCCCAATCCTTTTTGAAGATTGTCAAAACATCCGATTTCCAGCTTCAAAACAACGCCTCAAGGAAGACACCCGATCACTCGACCAGGCTCTTTGTCAACAGAAAGAAAATGAACAGATGAGGTAAAGACAGAATCTTTCGCCAACGAGCACAAAAACCCCCTGTGGAAAACCCGCCCAAATCTTAGCGCCCCAATCGAAACGACCAACCCGATAAGCAAACATTCGCTACACATTTCCGAAGTGTCTTCCAGCCAAACCCAGCCTCAAATTCATTCCTCCTCCATTCCATATAACGTTTACTCAGAATAGAAAAACATGCCTTCCGCTTTCACTAAACGGTATGCAGATCCCTTACGCTAACAAAGTAACATACCTTGGCGTCCACCTTGGTAGACGACTACATAGACATCATACAGCGCGCACAATAAAAAATCTTGATAACTATCACTGGGGCACCTTGGTATGTTCGCAACGAAAACATCCACCGGGATCTGGGCATCCTCGCAGTGAAAGACAAAATCCAGAAGCAAAAAGAGTCATACAAAAAAAAACTGTTTTCGCACGAAATCTTTTTTCGCTCTGGGATTGACTCGCGTTTTTAGCAGATCCCGCCTGCGACGCAACGTACTCCCAACCAAGCAATTGATTTTTAGGGCCGTCTAACTCTGTACCAGTCAATATGACTTTTAGTTAAGTTAAAAATATAAGATTTGACACACCTCTTGTTAGTCCCAAGATTCTTAGATTCAAGAATCAATACCAACGTTTAAAAAAAAGAAACGTTTAAAAAAACGTTGTCTTCGAGCAAAAAGTCTGAGAGCAACCGTTTGCAATGTTCGTATAAAATGACGAGCAATATTTTCTGTTCACTTGTGTTCTCCTCTTTTCATGTTCTTTTGCCTTTGGGAGAGGATCCAAAAAGTTTTTTTGCATGTATGTGTTTATGTGAAAGTTAGTGGTACTTGAGTCACTTGCCTTCGTGGCATTTGAATGTGCAGACTAAATAATTAAAACGAAAAAACGATTAAATTTAATCATATCATTAGTGAGCGATGTATCAAAAAGTCTCCAGCTTTTAGTGAAAGTTTTGCTGCTCAAAGCAATCCTGACGCCAACCTGGACGTATGCGATCAAGGTATGCGATCAAGGCACTGCATCCAAGCACCAGCTTAACAGGCTAAGGGTAGTGCAGGCACGTGCTGCTCGACGGGCATCCGGACTTCCCTGGTATGTGACAAACCAGGCCATCCAAAACGACCTACGCCTTGTCGTTGTGTTGTTTAATAATATTGTAAACTAATGTAAATAATTGTAAATTATTGTATATAGTCTAGGCCCATATCCCATATATACCATATTCACCCCATCTTCTAAGCGCCCGGTTATGTTCAAATGGTTCTGAACGATTCTGGCAACTACAATAAAATTTAACTTGTTTAAAAAAAAAAAAAAGTGAGCGATGTTCAGTAGGAGAGCATCTTACGAACCGATCATCGTAAAAACTAACCGAAAACAAAGATCAAAAGAAAGTAAGTCTCCTGCTTTGAGAAAGAGTGATTTAGCATATTTTTTTTCGGTGGTTCTCGTTAACAAAATATTATATAAGGAAAAAAGGTTACCAATTATTTGCGAGCTATGGTAAAAAATTATTATTTCCCTAAGCACAAAAATATGCAACAAAAACTTTGTTTTGTTGCTTTTTTTGAGTCTATATTTTTTAGCTTTAAAAGTCAAAAGTTAATTAATGTGGGATAAAAGAGATGAGTACCGGGTATAATATAGTCGGAGAACTCTAATAAAGCCGTTCTCTCTTGCTTAATATAAAATCTCTTTTAGCGTTATAGCTCACAATTCTTTATTATTGATTAGTTTCCTAATTATTTAATACTTACAATTCTTTCGTCCTTTAAGTGCTCTGGAAATTCAACTTTTACAATATTTGCATAAGCTATTAAAACTTTTACGATTGTTTTAGCAAAACGCCTCATGTAACGTTTCCAAATTTCTGGATCAGGACACTCGAGTTTGCTAACAACATCGAAACATTGAGTCAATTGCGTAAAAACATCGACCACCGAATTCGAAAATAGTGCGTGCTCGCTGCTTTTTTGAAACTAGGAAAGCAACCGAAACAAAATGTCATTTTTAGATTAATTAAAAAAATAAATAAAAAAAGTATTCTTACAAAAAAAAAAAAAAATACCTTACCCCATCTTTCTTATCCCGTTTAAATGCGCCATGCAAATATTCTAATGATACATCATCATTTTCATTTAGCCACTGCATAACAAAAGGTTCAAACCATGCTGGATAGTCCGGTACTGCACCTTTGTAGGGGGGAACTTCTTTAACATAGTTACTATAAAGCCATTTAACTCTGAAGTGCAGATTCATATAGGCCGAAGACTTGCACAAACGATGTTGTTCGTGTTCTTCTAAAGCATATTTCATATCCACAGCGAAAAGATGCCACATTGAAGATGCTGATAGCTGAAATTGTAATTTTATATAAAATAGCAAACGGCTAATAAACTTTCAAGATTTTGTTTCCTAGATAATAATGAAAAAATAAAGTTAAATTCTATGTAGATTTAGTAGATATTCATTGTAATCAGACTATTCTTATTATTATTACTACTCAGACTATTGTAATCATGTATGCACCAGAATATAAGCAAGTTTTGTATTTTAATTGACAAGATTTTATTCCTCAAGAATAAGTTTAATAATTTTTCAATTAGTTGGATTTCCATTTATAGATTTTATTATTTCAATATTATTAGCACTATAGCTTTGATCGGTGACAGCTAGCAGCGAAAATAGACTTTGGTTTGATATTTTTGATTGGTTACAATCTTATGCTGACATGCAGCTTACCAGGATGGGGACTTGTTTATGAATTTGGAAAAAGGGTTCGATGTTAAGGGGTTAACGAACTGTTTTTCGGCTTCCCGCTCGCAACAATTTGCCGTGGCTAGCTCACAGAGTTTGTGGGTCTGTTCCACCGAATTTGTAGTTCGACGTGATTGCCCGAGCTATTTCTATACAAATAGCATAAAACCTTACAAACTCTTTATTAAGAGGTTTTTCCCAAGATACAATGTTATTTTCTCAATAACAGGTTCCGCTTCGTATTCGTGCTGTTCCTCCTGGTTTCGCCCGGCTCCGTCCTTCGCTTCCTGTTGGTTATTCCGGGTGTCCCGGTCGACGCCTCTGCTCCGTCGCACCTGCTACTCTTCGTGCTGCGTTGCATTAGATTCCCCTAACTTCCCGCTTTTGCTGGCCCCACGCAGGCCTTCCTACCTCTCGGAACACCCCCTTGGGTCGTCTAGGACTGATTAAAGACTACGCAGCGCTCTTCCGCTCCGCTACTCCAGCGATCCACCGCACATACGCGCTAGCGAGCCGGGATTGTGAGTTGGCCGCGGACTTCGCACTTCCTGCTGACTACCGCCTCCGCTACACCTGGATACTGCGCATACGCGCTAGCGCCAGGATTATGAGTTGCGTGTGCTTGTCGCTCCCACTACACCTGGCATCACCGCGCATACGCGCTTGCGAACCAGGATTGAGAGTTGCCATGGTTGTCGCGCCCCTCACTTAACCTGGGGACACCGCGCATACGCGCTAGCGTTCCAGGATCGGAAGTTGCCGTCGATGATCGTGCGTCGCGCTTTCGCTACACCGGGGACACACCCCGAATATGCGATAGCTAGTCCTGTGTAGGGAGTTGCGTGGCTGGTGATCGGGGTTTTCTCGATGGGTCTCTAATTAGGTGTGAGTTCGCGAGTTGGCCTATCCTTTTATTGAAGGACTACGCCTGTTGGTTGCGATTTCAGGAGTCGGTAAGGCGTACGCCAGACTTACCATTCCTTACATCCATGTAAGGCTACTTGCCGTGGTCGGGAATGGCCGAACTCGACTCCGATACCCTGGGCTTTTAGTGGAATCGTCCTGCAACCTGGACTCAGTCCTGGACTCTCCAAAGGTGGTCCTTCAACTCAACGCTACAAGCTTCTTAAAGAGACTCGTGCCGATTCGCTTTAATGGGCCTCCTTTTATAATGATTGGAGCGCCCTTAATCCTCCTAGATTCTGCTCCTGCAGTTAATCCAGCTTCCAAAATCACGCCACTTTCCTGTTGGCGCCTCTTCCGGCCACGGACCTCTGCTTTTGCTATGTGGTGCACCGGTGGACTTCCAGGGCCCGCCGCACTTTGCGGGCACCCCCTTTTGCTCCTTGGTCCTTCGCTGCTGCTCACACCGCCTGCGCGGCGTGCTCACCCTCTCCCTTTGACTACCTTTCCATCGTTTTACTGCTGCTCCGGGAACCGTTACGTTCCACGTCGGTTCCGTCTTCCCACGGGGTGGCGGCGTTTTTCCCCTGCCCCCCTAAAACTTTCTTGTGGTTGGGTAGGCGCCTATAGGCAAATATTATATAAATGGTTATGTTATAATGGAATGGAATATAAATATACCATTATGTATTAATGGTAATTGTAATTACAAAGCTTATAAATATAACCCATTTGTAGACAGTTTATGGTTTTTTTTATAAAAAAAAGTAATTTCTTAAGTCTTTTTTTTTTTAATTTTTAGCTATTAAAGTAGTGAATTTAATATAAATTACATTTATATTTGAATTTTACATTGGCTTAATTTTATAATGTTATTTCCTTCAATCGTCTTATTAAATAAATCATAATTTTGATTAATGCTTTCTGTTTTTCAGATCCCTGAAAAGAAGCGCGATGAAGAAGGTTGGCCTGCGTTTCGATTAAAAGATCAATCGAAGTATCACACATTCACATACACGGGTGCATGTGTGCGTAAGTAAGATCTCGCTATGCGTGACTAAGATCTCGCTCTGGGGCCTGCTGGGGCCTGTCGCAAGATATTTTTGCGTCCATTTTTCATTTTGTCGCTGTCGTTCAGAATTTTGGAAATGGCTTGTGCATCAGTTAGCATTCCTAAATTCATCATAAAGCTTAGAGGCCCAGACGACCGATGGGCGCTCGAGAAACGATTCATTATTATTTATTAAGCTATTTGTTATTCGTAAACTAAGATAAGTTAGTAAGGAAATTTAAAATTCTATATTTTTTAAATTTGTAGGACAGGAAAAAGATTTTATAGAGTAGAGGCCATTGTAGTTTGAACATAAAACCCTAAAAGGGTCGTGCTGGTCATATGTCTAACTAACATGGCTAAGGAATAGAGGACTAAAGTTTCTAGTCGTTCTAGGAAAGTTAAAATTTAAGCGTGTTAGAAATGCTGGCTATCTACATCCCCATTGATTAGGTTATGTAGAAAAACTACACCCAGAATTGTCCTACGATTTGTTAAGCTTGGTAAGTTTATTAGTAGGAGTCTGCTAATATAAGATGGAAGATGAAGAATTGCTTCCAAGTTAAGACTGGGTGAAAAAGACTGGGTCTAAGTGAAAATTTAAAAATTCTTTTCTACGGATTCTATGCGGCCATGATGTACTCCATTTTGGGGACTCCAGACACATGAACCGTATTAGAGTATCGGACGAACCAAAAAAATGAATATGCTTGTATGAATGTAGGGGTCGTTATATTCTTTTGACCACCTATTAATAAAAGTTTTGATGTGCTAAACCAAAACTAGTGCATTGTTTTAAATAAACAAGTGCCACGCAATAAGCCCGTTGAGCAACGATCAAAATAACGAGCGTAGAACTTCAGTGAACCAAAGAAATGGCTTCTATTCTTACTCTTTAACCCGCGATATTAAAGTGGAAAAATCGCCAATTAAGAGCAACCCAGCTCCACTGATCGCTGAAACCCAAAGGGCACGGTCTTGCTCACCCGCTCTGCTCACTCCGACTCCCGCATCATGGAGTTCGCAGTGTACAGCCCCCCCTCCAATATCGGAAACAAATTTCGCACCGACAAGAAGCAGTACTAAAATTTCTGCAACCACAGCGGCAACCACTGCAATTCAAAGTGCCGCGACGTCAACGACTACAGCGAGTACAAAACCACAACTTCGGAAAGTGCCAAAGCGCCAACAAAGCGCAAGCTTAGGCTGCAGAGTAATCCGGCAGGCAATTAAACAAAAATTAACCGCGTCCTGAAGATCGACGAAGAACCAGGAAGATCGACTAGTAACAGATTTGCCCTACTGGCGGAGGTTGAGGAAAATCAACCAGCCCAAGTCACCGCAAAAAAAAACCCAAGCCCCCTCCAATCTATATCAGGTAGAAAAGCTTGAGTGCCCTGGTCAACCGAATTGATCGCGTCAAGCGTTGATCGGAAACGGTGACAACTTTCATGTGGTCCCGCTTATCAAAGGGAACATCCATGGAACAAAGGTGCAAACCAAGACTGAAGAGCATTTCGGAATCGTGTCCAAATATCTGGACAATACTCAGAAAAACTATTACACGTACCAGCTGAAAAGCAGTAAGGGCCTACAAGTGGTAGTAACGGAAATCGAACCCAATGTTACAGCCGCGGAAAAAAACCGCCCTTAGAAAAAAGGTATCCGCAGCCAAGCACGTTAAATAAAGATAAAAAGCCACAACCCCATTCCATTTCATGTCTATGCATAGGGATGCATACCATCTATTGGCATACCATCTATGCATCCCTTTGCATCGAAGGTCGAGCTCGAGCCAGAAAGCAGATCGCTGAAGAAGAACGAAGTCCACCCAATCTACAAGCTGCAACATCTTTTGCATCGGAAAATCACTGTTGAAGAGCCACATAAACGAAACGGTCCAGTGCAATGCACTAATTGCCAAGAGTATGGACACATCAGGTCATACTGCACCCTTCAGGCTGCCTATGTAGTCTGCGGGGACGCCCACAACTCAATGCACTACAAACAAGGAAGACGTCTTCTTCTCCAAAGCTGGGAGATCCGCATTCGGTCTTCCCAACACCACCAATTCCCTCTCCTATGCCGATACCAAATTCAGCCAAATTCAAAAAGCTCTCAGCAGGCCCCAGAACAGCCACAGAGCGAAACGGAAACTATGGTGCTTACCCTCCAACAAAGTATGATGGAGCTTATGTCATTCATGACCATGAAAACGACCATGCAAACACTGTTTCAAAACCAGAACATGGTGATACAGCTGCTCGCAGCACAACAGTATAAATGTCTCAGTGAAGTAGACATCTCCGACCCTATAAAGTATATACATATATTCTTGTTCAGGATCACCTCCTTAGTTAATATATGCATGTCCATCTGTCCGTCTGTCTGTTTTTAGGCAAACTAGTCTCTCAGTTTTAAAGCTATCTACCTGAAACTTTGCACCCTCCCTTCTTTCTTTTGCTTGCAGTATATATATATATATATCCCATAGCTGTCATATAACTGATTGATCGGAAATGCTGTAACTTTGTTGTTTTTTGAGCTAGAGAGTTCGGATTTTTCATGAGTTCTATTTTTGGCAAAATAATACGTCATACCAAATTTCATAAGGATCGGTTTACTATAATATATCCTATATCTG